TGTTAAATCCGATGAAAACTTAGAACTCTCCTGTATCTTCAGAAAAAAAGCCAGCTCACTTAGTCAAAGTGTCGTGGAGATAATCAAATGTTTTTTTTTAAGAAGTGATTTTCTGAACACCTTATAGAATTGGATGTGGGTGTGAGTCATTCACTCAGTTTAACCCACACCCATATCCACATAAACTATGGATCTCCTTTAGATTAGAAATGTGTCGCGTTGGTGTTAATACTGAACATGCGTCATCGACAAAGAATTCACTGGAACGTTGATCCCACTGGAACCGATGTTTTCTGTAATATTAATATCGAAATTGGCTGCAACATTGAGATATGTATTATATCAACGCTTATGCCTTTTTTCTAGCAGTGCACGTCAATGTTTCAGTGAACGTTGGTGTCCACTTAGAGTAGCTACACTGAGTCATTGGTTAATGATGTGAAAGCACAATTTGTTAGTTTAGATAATAATAGGACTATCATCAAACTCTAAGCTTTTATGTCAAACTATACACTAATATTGGTACTTCTTCATCCACACACAGGATCGTGCCAGTCAATATGTATATAGAGTGCGAATAAACTGAAAAAGAACCCTATATCTAAGGATTTGAGATGAATATGTAGATGTCATCAACAAAATATACATTGTAAACTCTGGTTTTTCGGAACCACATATATTTCAGAAGTAGATGTTTTGTACATAACAATTCTATTTGGTACACTAATTATTAAAAAAATATTGATCAAATGTTTGGATTTTACTTCTGAAATACGTGTAATGTTGTAATTGGTTTATTAACTAACCAATGAAATTCTGTTTCGTCGTGAGAATTTACACTAAAAAAAAATAAATGACATTTTTATTTTTTATTTTGTGATTTTTATTTCCAATTTTTAATTTCTCTTTGATAAAACTTTCTTTATAAACCAATCATCAATGAATGATAGATCTTCATTGACTACCTAGTTAATTTCATCATTATTTTAATACAATATTGATTTCTTCTATTATGACGGATTTTACAAATACAAGATCTCAAACTCTTGGAAAATTAGGTGAAGCTGAAAATACAATAAGCAACATGCTTCAGAATGCCGGTGAGATCCTTAAACAATTAAGTTCTGAACGAATTTCTCATGAAGAAGTTGAATCACGTGCACAATTTTTTTCAGAAAATGCTCGAAATGTTCAAGACTTATTACATAGAAGTGTAGAAGATCTAGAACGTATATCATCTGGTTTACCACATGAAGATTCATGTTATGGAACTTGGTTAGATTTTAATTTAGCTTTAATGAGAACAGAAACAATACGAAATAAATTATATGAATTAAAAAATAATCCTGAATTACAACGAAGTCGAGAACGTGTTAAAGAACTTGAACGACAATTAGCTCAACTTTAAGAATAAAATAACTTCTTTCGTAATTAATTTACAAATATTACGAACTATTCATATATATTTTTTTTAAATTGAATTATTGAAAGAAAAGTTTTTTCGCCTGCAACTAAATCTTTATGCCAATGTTCGAGTGTAGAACTGCGAGAAAAATAAACTGAATAGTTGAAGAGGACTATAGTGATTGAAGTCAATTTTTGTATTTACGAATATTGTTATCATCTTCTATAAAATTCGTAAGTCTTTACTCATCTTCTTTGTGTGTTGATCGAACTAGCGTGATTCTCTCTCTTCTATTTCTCATTATAAATAGTTTCAAAAGAGGATTTTTGAACATGTGTTAGTTGAATAGCTTAATTTTCTATAGGTTATAGCTGGTTATGTGCGTGGCTTCAAATGAGACAAATATCCACAATCAAACTAACATCCGTACCTGCAAGTGAAGAGAGAAAACTCAATTGAAGTAAATGCGACTCGATATTGTTCCTAATCTAGTTTATCTTTGTATTGTTCAATTATACGACTATAACTCAGCTGATACATGAAGCTTTCTCGACTCTACGAAGGTTGTGGAATGTGCAATGGAAAACATAGTAAGGGTGAAGATCTTCGTTTCATCCCGCATCCACATTACCGACTAACATTGTATCAATATATTGATTGTATTCGTTCATTGTTGTCATTCAGTTTTTCGCATGTCGATTTCAAAATATTTATCGATAGTATATGAGTTTGATATAATGATGAGCTGAATCAATCGTTTTGGTCCCACTTCTGGTAAAAAAGAAACGGTTGCAGTCTGCATCAGAAAAATATTTTTAATTCTCGTTTCGCGTTTAGTAATACATGTACTAGCGAAAACGTAATATGATTTTCTAAGAATGTCTATAATCTCGAGATATCTTGCATGACTAGTGATGAGCAGGATCAATTATTTTTGGCCCCGGTCCCAGTGTCAGTCGAAAAAAATTGTACTCCCATTGGGGCCGAGATCATGCCACCTATATCTAGCCTAATGATGAGGGTATGAATGTGACTAATGAGAAATACTCACATTCTAAGGCTCGACGAGTTAAGCTATTTCTCGAGTCCCAATCATTTCGTAGTGATTTCGAGTCGAGTCAACTTATTTTTGCCATTTTCTCGTTTTCTGTTTATTTTTATAAAGCACGTCCACAATAAGCTTTTCATTGTACGATGTCTAGCTTCTTGTTTTCATGCACAAAAACAAAATAAGAAAAGTTACCGATGAAATAAAATGACACAACTACTCTATATTAATCAACAAAGTAACAATAGTAAGATCAATTCTTCTCTTTTACTATATAGTTTCACATCAAAGTAAAACAATTATCATTTTTTAATAAACAACAACTAAGCTTAAACTTGTTTACAAGTAAAAATTATTTATGACCATTTGAATTAATGTCTTATTGTACTTTAAAGATACTAAAATATAAATATTAGCTGTTATAAAGTCTGAACGATTTGATCTCATTAGAAGACCACTTTAAGAAAACATACGTTCAACTGATGATGATATAGCAAGAACACATAATTCTTCCCAGTAACCTTATTAATAAATCGATATGAATTTGCATTTTTGAAGTGTAGAGTATGACTGTAATGTGTAATGCAATTGTGATTGGGGTCAATGGAGATGATCATCCACACTCACACCCTAGCCACACTGTAAAAAAAACGTAGAATACTACACCCTAGTAATTAAGAAAAATTTTCCTAAACCCTTAGAGGGTTTTTGAGCGGAAAGGTTTATAAGCCTAATAGTATTTGAAAATAAAAAGCGTTTAGGACTAATAAAAAAGAAAGTTTATTGTACTAGAATTTAAGGAGCAGGGTTTATTGCTCGACCCTTGCATGAAAAGGGTTTATCATTCACTGCAAAAAAAAGGGTATAATAATAAACCATTATTCACAATGTAAATTCTCATAAACCCTTGCAGAGTTCATAAAAGCAAGAGTAAATGAAAAGAAAAATGGTTCATGACTGCTAAAAAAGGGATTTTTTATATTAGAATTCCCAGAGAAACTTTATTACCTCAATGTTAAAGGTATATTAACCTATGCTTTCAACAAAAAGGCTTCTTATTTTCCAATAGGAGTACATTGTTCTTTAGCGTTAGATTTTGTGAAATAAATTATTCAACAGTAACTGTATGTAAAATTCAATAGCTTTATTTGTTACGTTGGTGAAGTTAGCCTCATATTCGAGTAAAATCTTCCCATATTCTTCCAGAAACATGTTTCAATTGTTTCAGTAGTGTTCCAAGTACAACTCAAGGAGCTCTATGAAAATATTCATAATACAGAGTCGTCATATGAAATATAAATTCTAAAATAAATTTCGTTCATTGATGGATCAATGATAGTAAAGGGTTAACCGTCAAAAGTGTCGCGATTTTAATGACATCGATTGAGAATGACGCACTGAAAGAAATAATATTCATCAAGAAGTTTTGAAAAGTCGATACATTTCCTTACTGAATGATTCATATAGCATGATAGTTATGATAACAAAAGGATTGCTTCGTAGAATACCTATGTGAATGACACAAACATATTCTAGTATATTATGGGATAAAAACGTAAAGTACTGCTATCCTGATCGTTTCGGAGGCAAGTTTTGGCGTATGGAAAATTTGATTATACCGTTAGATACAGCTCGTCGAGTTGTACTTGGAACACCATTGAAACATGTTCCTGGACGAATATGGGAAGGTTTTACTCGAATATGAGGCTAACTTCATCTATGTTTATTTATTTGTATCGTTTAGAATCAGTCGAACATGTTATACAAGAGTATGTATTTATGAAACGAAAAAAATTATTCATTTTTATCACTTAGATTTCGTTGAACAACTTAAGCAATCGAAAATATGCACCAAATTAGATAAACTTCTTTTAATTTTTTTTTTTCGTTCAGCTTTCGTGGAACAACTTATTCGACAGTAAGTATTTATAAAATTAAATAACTTTCTTGTTGTTTTCGTTTAGATTTGCTTCAAGAACTGGTCAAAGTTAAGATACGAATTTTGGCTCAGAGTAAGTTTTCCGAAACTCTTCCAAAGAGTTTCAGAAAGGGTTTATTGATTTCCGAAATCCTGTCCTAAACCATTCCAAAGGGTTTAGGAAAATGTCACATACGGCAACAAGGATTTATTATTTGTTGCACTTTAATAAACCTTTTGAGGCTTTATTATTCTACGTTTTTTTTTACAGTGTATTCCCACACCCACACACACCACCCTAAAGGTATTTAAACTCATATTAAGCGAAACATTCAATCAGAATACTATTTTGATTATAAATTAATACCAGTCTGTTTCATAGTCTCGTTAAAACTAATAAAATCACTTGCTTAAATACAGAAAACTGCTCATGAGAAAAAAAATTGTTTAATATCAAGAAACTAGCATAGTCAAAGACTATTTAAATATCTTGGTCATAGTTAGCACAACAGAAGAATCATTGCTAGGATTTAAAAATAGAGCACACACTTAACAAATATTAAATAAAGAACTGCTTCCTCAATAAAAAAAACGTTGTAGCCATATATAAACGTTCGTCCTTCTAACCATCATACAAGTAATCCTATCTGTAGTTTATTTTCCAATATTTCGTTGATACATTGCTTTCCTTGATCACTAATCGGATTGTTTTGAAGGTTTAGTGTAGTAATCGTCTGTTTGAAATAGTGAGTGAATGATAGGATGAAAAGGTTTGAGAGATATTACTTTGTTTTTTTGGAGAGCATTGGCAAGATGTTGAGCTACTTGCGAACCAATTCGATTGTGTTGAAGATCGAGATCGATGAGTGTCTGTGGGAAATAGTGAATGAACGATAGGATAAGAAGATTGAGTTGGTACTTTGTTATGTTGTAGAGCAGTAGCAAAATATTGTGCTCCTTGATTATCAATAAGATTGTCTCCGAAGTAAATTCTGGCGAGTGTCTGTGTAAAATAATAAGTGAGCGATAGATTGAGAAGGTTGAAGAAATGTTACTTTGTTTTGTTGTAGAGCATTTGCAAGTTGTTCTATTCTTTCCGAGCCGGTTGCATTGTACTGGAGATCAAGTGTGGTAAGTGTCTGTGTGAAACAGTAAGGAAGTTAAAATCATCAAAGAATTTAGGAATGAATTTCATAATTAAATCTTTAAATGCTAGAAATTGTTTTATTAATCGGATATACAACACAGTTCAAAGACAGCTGTTTCGCATTTTTTCTTCTGGAAAAGAAAGCACTTGAAGATGTTGTCAGGTATAATAATTGTGATGAATGTAAAGTGTTTGCAAGACTCTGTCCGGGCTATCGCAAGGCTCTCAAGATGGACGAAGAGGCTAATAAGTTTATGACAGACAGAACACATTGTGAGACGATCGTCGTATATTAGCGTCAATTTCGACTGAAAAAACATGTCTCATATACCCTCTATAACAATATTCTTGGTCTTCTTTGAAAGTATTATGACGTTGATGTTATCCAATAACAGCAATGACGGTGATTATGATAATGATACAAAGGAAAAATGACCACTAGGTCGATGTACAAGGGTGGATCAATTCAACTTCACGGATCGTTCTTCCAAAATGGACGATAATCCTTGTGTATGCTCATCTACTTTCATAAATGCCACAATCTCATTGGTATCTGGTTCTCGGAATACAAGTGTTAGATTTCAATCACGAGATCGAAACAATCCATATGGGCGTTGGTGTTAGTTTCAGTCTTCAGCTCACCCATACGCACACCCCAAGTTGTTCAGTTTATTCTGATAGTGATCCGGTTTCTCTGGTTCAATTTCGATAGATGTACTCTGCATTGATGAAATTCCGATTGTTCAAGTATCGATTCTAGCCTTATTCTCAGATTTATTCATACTAAACTTTGGTGAGTAATATTATTCTATGAAACTTCAAGTCTTTTACTGAACCACAG